ACATCGCAGACTTGAAGGAGGAGATTTGCACTTTGGCTGGCAAATTCGGCTGGGTGATGTTGGGTCTGCTGATCTGAGTCAGACGACGCGGAGATGAACTGCCAAGAGGGAGACAGGAGTTGATAGTACCGACCAAGAGCAAATGCAATGCTTCCAGTGACTTGTGCTGTCTTTGTGTAGCTCTGATTACTTGATTGCCTGGTCATGCCATCATGTCGGTGCTCAGGCAAGAAGCCCTCCGAGGACAGACGCTTACAGTATGGAGCTTTGCTGATGTCCTAAGCCCCTGTCGCAGTCCTTCTCGTTGCAGAGAGCCAGATCAGGCTTTTGTGACCGATTGAATGTGGGCCATCACCCGACCTGCTGTAAACTTCACTTGGGTTGGTTCTGTGTAGGTTCATGCGAGGGCTGAGCCAGAAGCGGCTAGCCAGGCGGCTTAGCGCCCACCAGGCCCACCACCCTGCCAGGAGAGCGCTGTTGAAGTTGCCTACCAGAAATTCCTTGCCACCGACATCAAGGAGGGCCTGCATGCCCGTGCCTGGTCCTTCCACCTGAAGTCCCTTGCCTTGGCGGATCAGAGCTCCACATCATCATTGTGTCGTGTCTTCTGCCTAGGGTTGGCTTTGAAGGTGCGACCGTCGGCGAAGTCGGCGCAGCTCTTGCTCGACCGCGGAGCCATCGTTGAATCTGCATTGGCCGGGAAGAAAGATGAACGGCTGCGAGCTTGCGATGAACCGTTTGTGCAGAGGGTGGACTGGCTCGTTTCCTGCTGTGCCGTCTCGAAACAAATTGGGCCCATCATCAACCGTTGGAAGATCCCCGTCAGGTTCGACCCGCAGAGCCCGCTTGTTGCTTGGGCTGTGGATCAGAGCGTGGATCTGGAATCGGAGGAAGAGCTCGCGAGGTGTCTGCCGGAGATCGCCGAGCAGAAAGGGCAAGAGATCGGCTTGACAGAATGGAACCAGGACGGCAACATCCGCCTTTCAATCTTCAAGCGGTGGTACTGCGTGCCCGACATCGCAGATGCATATCAGAGGGAGCGAGAGCTGCAGTGGATTTCAACAGAGGCCAAGAAGGCAGGGTTGTCCTTCGACCTGCTCGAGAAGATTCAGAAGCAGCAGGACCCTGTGTGCATTGGTACTTGTTCAACTCAGCTCTTTCCTGCTGTCTGCAAAGGGGGGTCGCAGTCGCCACGAAGCATTACAGCAATTCATATCGAGCCAGCAACTGAAACGATTGAACGAGCTTGGCTCGCTGACGAGTTGGTCGTCGGGAGTTGTTCATGCTAGTTAAGTGTTGTTTCAGATTTGCCGGGAGTCACGTTCACGAGTCACTGTGCCGGATCATGGCCGGCTCGTTTTGAGCATCAGTAGACGCAGAACACCGTCCATTGGCTTGAGTAGCTTCATATGCGCAAAATGGTTTTCGAGAAGGTCGCAAAGTTGTTGAAGTCGGAAAGCTCAATGCTGCACGCATCTGTTGAGTGAAGAAGTGAGCAAGGCCACTGCTGTAGTCACTGCCAGCTATGGCAATTAGCACGTCCACCCTCCCGATTTGGTGGTGATAGTATCTGATAGTAATTCATCGTCGCCGTCCTAGTCGCAATAAAGAGGTTGAGGACCCAAGAAGGGGGAGCCTCCCTGCAGGCTCCCAGTGAATGACTCATGACACGGGTTGCCTCCTGCTTTGAATGCACTTCGTGTGCAACAGGTCGTAGCCATTCTTTTTATGCTCTCACGCAAGCATTGTAACAACCATGCAGGATGGATGGTGGGACGGCAATAATGACGAGGCTGGGACAGAGCATGTGACAGTGACTACTTGGCAGCATAGGTCCTTAGGAGCACTACAAGAGCTCATCTGACAACTTGAGAACCACCAGTGGGTGACGGCAGGGATGGTCGTTCGCGGAATTATATGGTCATATGGGTTCCAGATCCACGGCGGAACCTGCATGTTGTAACAGTGTAACATAGTGTAACACAGTGGAAGAAACGCGCGGGCTGACTCGGTCACGGTGCTGGCAGGAGTTCCGCCCAGAGGAAATGCTCTACCTGATGCCGAAAAGGCCACCTGGCAAGGGCCGCCCTACGAGAGTCAGCTTCGAGGGGCGCATCGTTCCCGGTTCGAGGACTTGCTGGCTCTCGTTTCCCGCCAGATACGCGCCTTGCTGGGATGCTTTGACGGGAGAGTCGGCGACAGATTCTGTGGCCTGCATCTTCCATGCCGAGGAAAATGGCCCGAACCTCAGATGCCTTGAGCACAGCGAAGCGGAAGCACTGCCTCAGAAAGCCTTTACATGCGATCGCGTTTTTCCTGTCAAAACCTATACATTTCATGGCCGGCGAAGAAGCAGGAAGGAACGAAGCAAGAAGACCCCTGTTTCCGCGGGCTGCCAGCCCAAGGCACCCTTTGCACCTGCTTTGGATGTGTTTGTGGCGTTTCGGGCGGGTTTTGTGTGTGGGGGGGGAGGGGGGGGGAGGGTCTGCGCCGCGTTTCTCACCATCGCCTTACTTCTTGCCCAGAGCCTCAGAAAGCACGGTGGAGCTCTCGATTCTTCGATTCCGGCTCTGGGTCTCGCAGGAGGAGAGGGATGAGAGGGATTCAGGGGCCGGGGGTGCTGGAGTCTCCAGGCCGAGACCTGCAAGGCTTTACATGGCACCCCTGCACCTGGCATGGAGAAGCACCCAGCCAGGTTTGATATCCGCAGCGCTCTGCATTTTTCTGGCTTGTTCTTGCTTGCACCTTCCGCGCGCACACTCGATCGAATGTGAAACGAGTTAGAGATGTGTGTTGCCTTGCTGCGAGTGGCGGGGTGCATCAAAACCGCTTGTGAGAGGTCACGAGGACGACGGCGATGGAGAAGGGGAACGTGGTTGGCAAGGCAAGTGGCTCGAGAAGGTTCAAGAGGCCGTCGAGAACGGTCAGCGCTTGAAGGTGGCCCTCCCTCCCGGGCGGCTGGGCGCGACCCAGGAGATGGAGATGGCAAAGGCCAAGGAGATGGGCTGGAGCTACGAGGAGGTGGACGTCTTCGATGTGCTGGAGGATCAGTTTCCGCGGGGGCTTTTGGTCGACGCCTGGTGCGAGGCGACAATGTCCTGGCGGAGAGGAACCGTCGAGGAGCAGGATGTTGTGAACACGGAGCAGGAGGACGGTTCCGATGACACCGTGGTGCGATGGACCCTGCGATGTCAGCTTACCGGGCAGACCTTCGACGCCTTTTGCGTTTGCAGCACTGCTGCCACCATGAAGGCCATGCTGGATCATTTCAGTCGGCACCTCAGGAGCGGAGACAGCACGCGTGTGAAGCCACAGGTCTCCAGAGGAGAGCAATTGGTATACTCATGATACTCTTGTTTTGCGAGCTGAGGCGATGCAAAACTGCGCGGGATCCTAATGGAGTGCCTTCCGCACGTCGACGTGCTCGACATCGGCACCCATCGGCTTCGCCCAGACCTCGTGGCCCTGAGAGCCAAGCTGCGCATCAAGTCCATCGGTACCCTGCACAAACTCAGAAATCGAATCCTCAATGACGACCTCGAGCGAGACATCAACGCGCACCTGGCAGATCCCCGCTGGGAGGTGGAAGTCAGCAAATCCCACTTTTTGGAGATGTACGACGGTAGCCTCCGAGCGCTCGACAAGCTGACGTGTCACCAGAGAGAGCGTCTTAGTACCATCAAAGGCTCGGACATGGTGCACTTGTTTGCTCCTGCCGGTGCCGGCAAGACCTTCGTTTCCGTCGAGCGGGTGATCGATGCCCTGAATCCTGGGGCTGATGAGCCAGCTCCTCGCGTCCTCTATGTAGCCGCTACCGTCGAGCTGATCTACTACTTCGTCCAGTGGCTGGCCGTACGCATCCGGTCTCAGAAGAAGGATTTGGAACTTCTTTCTGCATTGGTTGTGCTTTTCAAGCCATACAAGAAGCTCCACCGGCTTCGTATGGCCGTGCTGCAAGACGGGGACATCGAGTTCGAAGCAGTGATCATGACCCACGACAAGAATGACAAGTTCGATCTCCTTGTCATTGACGAGAGCCACAACATGTACCGAGACGGGGTCGACCGCGGCATTCTTGACGATCTGCATTGCAGCAAAAGACTTCTACTCTCCGACAACGCCCAGTCTTCGGCCGTGACAGCCACGTTTCCAGAGATGGAGGAGGTGCAGCTGACAGAAGTGGTCCGGAGCACGAAGCAAATCGTCCTGGGGGCTGCCTCGTTCCAAGTCAACGCCGAAGCTGCTGTGCCCGCGGGCACCGATGGCCCACCAGTGAAGTCCTACATCTTTAAAGCTTCCAAGGACGAAGATGAGCGGATGAAACACTACGCCCGGCGTGTGATGGATGCCATCCTGCATGTCGACAACGTTTATTCGGGGGTGAGCCTGCACAAGAGGCTTGCACTCTTCGTTCCAGATGTGCAGTTTCTGACGAAGCTGAAGAAGGCCTTGAGCCCGTTGTTGCGCGAGGGACTCCCACGCCGAAAGCTCCGCTTCGCCAAGCACGAGGAGTCCTTGCGCTCGC